AGCAAGTTGGGCAGTGTTCTGTTGTGATCTATAAGGTTTTCATTTGGCTCGTTTTCAGAAAGGAACCCTGGTGGCACAATGCTTAAGTACTTGGCTGCACTGAAAGGTTGGCAGTTTGAATCCACCCAGAGGCTCTGAGGGAGAAAGATGTGGCAGTCTGGTTCCATGAAGATCACAGCCTAGGAAATCCTATTGGGCAGTTCTACTCTGTTGAGTGGGGTCATCATGAGCTACAACAACAGCAACAGTTTTGAGAAATAGATTGTCAGACCTTTCTGCTACAGCAAATGCTTCCACTCCCCCAGCATATTTCTATGAAAATTAAACCAAAAGTGAAAAGAATAGTATACCTCTGTCTTTATGTACACTCATGTCTACGTATATTTTTTTATTTTCTACATACAGATGATCCTTGCCCCATTCTGTACATCACACTCTGTTGCCAAAGTACTGCTAATACAATGCAGATTATTATTGACATCTTATCTAATGGGAAAATAAATGACATAGAGTATCCATATCATTACTTCTGATCATTGTTATAAAATGTAAGATTTAGAAATTTTTACTAATAAGTGAATTCAGCCTATTGCTTATTTCCACCACCAACCCCTTTTTTGGTACCCAATCTTGTATATAGAAATTCGTATTTGATTTAAAAATATTTAAATACTTACATGTTGACTTAATGGATTTTACTACCTCTCAAGTGCCCAATTGCACATGGCATAAATCCTGCAAGTTTAGTTTTAATTCTATTTAACAGTGTAATGGCAAAAATTAAACTATAAATTTTATATTGTCATTGTGCATTACTCTTTTTATCTTAGATTTTGATTAAGCAAGCTATTGATATACTTTAAATTCTATTCTGAGAAATAGTAATATGTTGTTAATTGAATTGGTGTTTCTCATGGGTTACATTTAAATCTTATGGTGTGATGCTAATGAATTTAAGATTCTAAAATAGGACTTAGCAGTGGAGTTTTTAAGATAGAACTCCCATGGACATATAATTTACTGCATGACAAGATACTTGTCAGTTGGAGCTGCCAGTCACACTGGAAATCATGTGAGAATGGGAAAGCCAAACCCATTCTTTGTCAGTAGTGAAAACAGCTGAATTAGTTTCCTCTCAGATTGTGGGTCTGTAGTCATGGTATTTCCAGTCGCCTGGTGGTGTAGTGCTTAAGGCATTTGACTGCTAACCAGAAGCCTGGTGCTTCAAACTCATCAGTCACTCCTCGGAAGGAAGACTGGGCAGTCTACTTCCATAGAAGTACCACCTTGGAAGCCCAAGGGAGGGGTTGCTATGAGTCAGAATAGACTCAACAGCAGTGAGGTTTTTTTTTTTTTTTTTTTTTTTTTTTTTTTTTCTTATGCATGTGAGAGCTGGACAGTGAATAAGGAAGACTGAGGAAGAGTTGATGCTTTTAAGGTGTGGGGTTGGGAAAGAATACTGAGAGTACCATGGGCTGCTAAAAGAACTAACAAATCTGTCCTGGAAGAAGTGCAGCTGGAATGCTCGTTGGAAGTGAGAATGGCCAAATTTCATCTCACCTACTTTGGTCATGTCAGAAGGGACCATTCCCTGGAGAAGGATATCATGCTTGGTAAAGTGGGGGGTCAACGAAAAAGGGGAAGACCTTCAACAAGATGGACTGACACAGTGGCTGCCACAATGGGCTCTCAGGTATAGCAAGGATTGTGAGGACGGCACAGGACCAGGCATTGTTTCGTTCTGTTGTACATAAGGTCGCTATGAGTCGAAGACGACTTGATGGCACCTGATGACAACAATAAATCATTTTCACATACAGAATATATTGAATGGTACTGCTCTAAAGGTCTTATGAATTGGGTGCTTAATTTTGGCTTGGAATTCTCATTATTGCTCCAGAATATCATTGTATATCGATTATTTCTATATTCATTGATATTTGGTTATATAAAGCCTATAAATGAAAGGCTTACTCACTAAATAGAGAAATTAGTGGGTAGAAAGTTTCCAAAATCGCTTTAGATTCTCAAGTGTGGTATTAGAAAAAGGACTTCAGTAAGTCACCCAGAAAGTTCATTTTCTGTTGCTGCTATCAGAGACTACTTTTACAGCCTTTTCTCTTTTGAGTACCAGTGGCAGTCCTTGATATTACTGCAAATGCTTTCTGTCTAGGCCTTTAGTCCTTCTTGTAATATTCAAATGAATTATATGTCTTTTTGATTGTGTATATTTTGCTATTTGTAAATATTTCTCTATATAATTTTTACGTTAGAAATATTAACAAGTTGACTATGATGAAAAATCAGTGTCAGAAACTCATTTTAAATCATCATACAATTTAAAAAGAAAGCTTTGTACCTCTTACCAAAAAAAAAACCAAACTCACTGCTGTCGAGTCGGATCTGACTCGTAGCAACCCCTCCTTGGGTTTCTGAGGCGGTATTACTACAGAAGTATATCGCCCAGCGTAGAAAAATAATTTGAAAAAGAAATTTATTTATAGTTTCTCTTATTAGCTTCCTGTGTTCTTGCTTTCTGCCACAGCTAAAGAAATAAGATTTTAATAAGAATTAAGTACAATTTTCAGTAATATGATTAAGCAGAGTATACTTTGCATGGTCTGTCAGCAAACAAAGCTGTTCCTTAAGAAACTCAACCTACTGTCATTGAGTCAGATCCGACTCATAGAGACCCCTCCTTGAGTTTCCGAGGCACTATCTCTACAGAATTAGATTGCCCAGCCTTCCTTCCAAAGATGGCTGATGGGTTCGAACCCCAGTCTTCTGGTTAGCAGTCAAGTGCCTTAGGCACTACACCACCAGAGCTCCTGTTTCTTAAGTAGGATTTCTGATAAAATGAGAAGCCAAATACTTTCTTTCTGTACTGGAGAGGAGATAGCATAGTTGTTAAGGGGGCAGAACTAGAGCCAAGCTACTAGTTTCAAATCTGACCTCCTTGTGCCTTTGTTTCCTCCTCTGTAAAACAGGGATGATATAATGCCATCCTCCTATGGTAGTTGTGAGGATTAAATAAATTGTAATATATAAAGTATGTGGAACAGTGCCTAGTATTTGGTAAGTTCTTTTTATATAAATATTACAGTTATACAAAATTTCCTGCAATAGAATTTCCTGCTATTTAAAAATGATAATTAAGAACTATTAAAGTTATTCCACCACCTCTTTCTTCACTTCATTTCTTAGAGGGAAAAACAAATAGCTTCCTGTTGTACTATCTCCTTAGTAATAAATCTTGTAAAATTTTATCTTAATAAAATTAATGGGGAATAAGTACAAAAACAATTTTAAATAATTAATGTCTTGGTAAACCTACTGAGCTTTGCCTGTTTTTAAAATTTTTGATGGTCAGCCTAGTTTTAGTAAATGAGTATTTCCCTTCTTCCTCCTCTTTTTAAATGGTGTCATGGTTAACATAAAATAGTGACTAAGCATACAGTCACACCATACCTTATATACATACTTTTGATAAATTTGTGACCATATTTCCTCTTAAGTGTAAAAATAGGAATAACTATGAAATAAATCATTCAGATTTTATGTGTTTACCTATAAATAATATCAAAGAATATATAACATTTCCGAAATTAGATAGAGTTTACCTACTTTGTAAAACAAATATCAATTCCCCAAAACCTATACTTTTAACTAAATAATTTATATTTTGAAATAAGAGTTAATTCTGTTCTTTTACAAATGCGAAGAACACCAAAATTATGTATATCTTTTGTTGGTACTAAGGAGCTCAGGTGGTGTAGTGGTTAAGGCATTTGGCTGCTAACCAAAAGGTCAGTGTTCAAACCCACCAGTGCTCCACATAAGGAAGATGAAGCAATGCGCTTCTGTAGAGATTTACAGCTTTGGAAACCAATGAGGGGAATAGGATCTCTGGTGGTGTAGTGCCTAAGGCATTTGACTACTAATCAGAAAGCTGGTGGTTCAAATCCACCAGCCCATCCTCAGAAGGCAGACTGCACAATTTACTTGTGTAGAGATACCACCTCAGAAACCCAAGGAGGGGTTGCTGTGAGTTGGATCTGACTTGACAGCAGTGAGTTTTTGGGTTTTTTTTTTAATGAATCGGAATAGACTTGGTAGCAGTAAGCTTTTTGTTGTTGTTATTGTTGGTACTAAGTGTTAGGAGAAGTTAATAATAAATCTTCACCAACGTCTTTAATTTCCATATAGAACTGAATTTTTCTTCTATTATCATTTAGTTTTGATTAATTAGTTTAAAAGAAAATGGGCTTCACAATAGCAAATAATTGAGGAAAGGAGGTTAATTGTCTTGCTGGTATATTAACTGTGAAGAGGTTATTACATTTAAAAACCTTTTAAGTTCTAGAATTCAGTAATAATAATTTACTATTACTGCTGTTAATCACTCTTCTGTAGTAATATGAAGGCATTGTCTGAAGTACTGAAGAGACACTAAAACACAAACTGCAACCATTGCAGATTGTGACTCATAGTAACTCCTCCTTGGGCTTCCAAGGCAGTATCACTATGGAAGTAGATTGCCCAACCTTCTTTCCAGGGAGTGACTGGTGGGTTTGAACCTCCAGCCTTCTGGTTAGCAGTCAAGTGCCTTAGGCATTACACCACCAGAGCTCCCACTAGGTCAGTATTAAATTAAGCCAATATTATTTTTGCCTTATGAGTGATCTATAGATTTCCTGATCCTTCGAAAATTGGTAATAACAAGAACTCCCTATTTCTTATCTGCTAGATAATTAACTTGGGTGTAAAGACTTAAATTTGTATGACAAATCATTTTTCTACTTTCAGTAGTTCAAACAGATATACCTCTAAAGAGGGTGGAGGCAAAAGTGTAATGGGATCCAAGATAAAGACAAAGTGAGAGGGAAAGTTGAGAAGAAATTAATTACAAATTCAATAAATTGAAGAAAATCATTAAAGAGTATCTCTAGAAATCCGTTTTTTTTTTTCCAATCATATATTATTTCATCCTTGTTTTACAGGAAAAGTTATCAAAGTCTTGACCAGTTATCAGCTGAAGTTAGCCTTTCTCAGACCTCGCTGGATCCAGGCCATTTACAAGAAGGCGATGGAAAACAAGACACATTAAATTTACTCAGTGAAGGTAAGAAAAAAATCTACTTGCAATTTGCCTTTTTATTCAACATGTATATTTTGGTTGCAGAGTTATTGTTGAAGAGTGCCATTGCTGCAAAGTATGCTAGGAATTCAGTTGACGTTATGATTTAAAATGATCTGCCTTACTTCTTTTTCACTTACTTGTGGCTGACTTCCTTGAAAGAATTGTCTATAATTATTACTTTTATTTCCTTACTTCCCATACTCTACTTTTACTTAATCTAATTTGGCTTTTGTGTCTACACCACTTTAGTAAAATAACTTTTATCAAGGTTATTAACCTCTGCCATATTGCTAAAGTCCATTCTCTGTCTTTATCCTGTTAATCTTCTCAGCAGCTTTTGGTAAAATTGACCACTTCCTCATTCTTGAAATACTTTTGGTTCCTGGTTTATTTAATATTCTGAAAAAACTTGTGGAATTAAAATAAAAGAATTTCACCTTTTTAACCAATGACCATTTTCAGCTGTACTCTATCAACCCCCCTCCTATTGGGTTGCATGTTCTTGATTTTTCAGGCTACTTTCAATTATATGGTCCCATTTCTGTTTCTAAGACCATTTTCCACACAGCGATCCGTAATCTTTTACAAACATAACTCTCCAGTGGCTTTCGGTGACAATCAGAAGAAAATCCAAACTGCTGATCATAGCCTTCAAGGTTCTACATGACCTTGCCCTTGCCAGCTTCGGCCACATTTCATACTACTCTGTTCCTTGTTTGCTACACCCCAGTAAACTGACCCTCTAGTTGCCCTTCAGACTGTCTCCTGCCACAGCTACCTTTGCACTTGCTCTTCCCATTGCTCTGAAATTTTTCCTTAATATCTTTGCATGGTAGGTTTTTTTTATCAAGTCTCTGTCCAAATACCAAATCTTTAAAGGTTTCTTTGATTTTAGCCAACCTACCCCCATCTACATTTCACCCCGGTTTCTCTCTATCATATTATAATATGTCATTTTATGATTCTTGTCTATAACTCAGCTTCATGAGGGTAGGATCTATCTTTTTCACCAGTGTATTCCCAGAATCTAACACAAAATAGACAACTCTTAAGTATTTATTGATAGAATAAGTATATAATAAACGGGTGGCATAGGATGTGAGGAATCTGGTACAGGGAAATATAAGGTAAAAAGCCAATTAACCAGGAGATGAAGACAATGGGAATATTGTTTTGAACTCAATTTTCCTTTAAGATGGTTGTTGATATAGTAAGTAGTGTCTGTTACTTACAAATGAATTTTTTTTTTTGATGATGTGGTTAATATAGTTAGCATATTGGAGTATCTTACTGGCCCTAATGTAAATGGAAGAGAGTAAACTGAATTCACTCTCATAATCTAGAATATGTACGTTTTTTAAGCTAATCCATACTGTAAGTAGATTTATTTGTGATGTTTCTTCAGCTAAAAAACATATTTATTTAGGATTTTAATCTAATTTCTAATTACAGGCATTTCAAGTCAACAGGAAAGAGTAATTAGTGAACATTTTCATACTATAATGATAAATTATTGACTTTAAGAATTCAAAGGTAAACACAGGCCGGCCTCAGGGTTACAAACATTCAATTTATTGTTAAATCCTATGTGCCCTTCAGTGTTATGTAAATTTCCCCTCACTTTGAAGTGATTGGACCAACCCCTGTTTGCAACAAATTCTTCATCACAAAAGCTGCACATACACAGCTTTTAAATCATTGCACCTTTTCTTGCAATCAAGTAAGGCTAAATAAGAACTATATGCATCTGTTCTGATTTACCTACAAATTCTTAAGGACACAGTTAGGGATGGATCTTGTTAGTAATTCAGGGACTGCCTGTAACAGATAATCTACTTACAGATTTCTGTACCCAAATACCTTATAAATACATTATGAGCAAAAAAAAGTAAGTATTTCCACCAACTAAACCTAACCAGAAAAAGACTATATAATAAACTGCAAAAACTGCTGATATGGAAAGAAACAGATATTCTTATTATGAGTTGGTAAGACTCAAAAAGAGAAGAAATAGCTGCAAACATCTATTAATAATCAGAATGTGGAATGTACTAATATGAATCTTAAGAAAATTGGAAGTTATCAAAAATGAAATGGAACACATAAAAGATCAATATTTTAGGCATTAGTGAGCTGAATGGACTGGTATTGATCATTTTGAATCAGACAGTCATATGGTCTATTTTGCTGGGAATGACTAATTGAAGATGAATAACATCACATTCATTGTCAAAAAGAATATTTCACATCAATCCTGAACTAAGGTGCTGTCAGTGATAGAATAATATCCATATGCCCACCAGGAAGACCAGTTAACAAGACCATTATTCAGATTCATGCACCAATGACTAATGACAAAGACAAAGAAATTGATATATATATATACTTTTTTTTACCACCAACTCTTGTGGTCTGAAATTGATCTTGCAGTCAAGATATATCGATAAGTACTGGTGACTGGGATGAGACATTTCTAAACAAAGAATAAGGATCATAGTTGGAAAATTTGGTCTTGGTGATAGAAACAATGCTGGAGGTCACATGATAGAACTTTGCAAGGCCAAGGACTTACTCATTGCAAATACCTTTTTTCAACAACATAAATGGCAACTATACATGTGGACCTTACTGGATGGAATACACAGGAATGTAATAAATTGGAAAGAGACAACAAAGAAGCTCAGTATCATCAATCATCAAATGACTAGGTACCAGCTATGGAAAAGACCATCACTTGCTCCTGTGCAACTGTAAGTTGAAGCTGAAGAAAACAAGTCCACAAAAACCAAAGTATGACCTTGAATATATCTCACTGCAATTTAGAAACTGTCTCAAGAACATATTTGAAGCATTGAACAATAATGACCAAAGACCAGATGAGTTGTGGGAAAACATCAAGGATATCATACATGAAGAGAGCAAAAGGTCACTAAACAGACAGGAAAGAAAGAAAAGATAAAAATGGATATCAGATGAGACTCTGAAATTTGCTCTTGAACATATAGCATAGGTAAAGTGAGTGGAAGTAATGATGATGTAAAAGCGCTGAACAAAAGATTTCAAAGGGTGGCTTAAGAAAAAGTATTATAATGAAATGTGCAAAGATCTGGAGTTAAAAAAAAAAAAAAAGAAGAACACACTCAGCATTTCCTAAGCTGAAAGAACAGAAGAAAAAATTCAAGCCTTGAATTGCAATATGGAAGGATTCTATGAGTGAAACATTAAATGATGCAGGCAGCTTCAAAAGAAGATGGAATGAATACATAGAGTCACTGTACCAAAAAGAGTTTGTCAATGGTCAGCCATTTCAAGAGGTAGCCTATGATCAAGAACCAATGGTATTGAAGGATTCCAAGCTGCACTGAAGGAATGTTTCATATATGACTGTGAGACCAGAAAAACTAGATGGTCCCCGGCTACCACTGTCAACCACTCGGAGGTGGATCTATGTAGAAGATCCTGCATAGATTGGGAGAACAATGTGGAACAAAACTCAAAATCATTTTAAAAAAAGGACCAGGTTTGCTGGTCTGATAGAGCCTGGTGAAATGCCTGAGACTATGGCCCCTAGCTGCTCTTCAAGTCTGGAATTGAACCCGCTCCTGTGGCTTCCAGCCATACAAAAGACAGGCATATGAGCTGAACATTAGGTAGATGTACTCCTTGGAGAGATCAATCATGGGAGAATAGAAGGGTTGTGTATGCACAGGAAAAGACAGCTCAGGGGGCAGGAGTTCATGGGAAGGAAGGACATAGGGAAGAAGTAACTATGGGGAGGAAGTGGGAAGAGAGCTGTTGAATTGTGGGAAATTGTAGTCAATGTCATGAGACAAATATATGTGAATAAACTATGTGAAAGTATATGTAAAAAAAGGTATATGTGAATTTACTCTAAACTTTCACTGAAATCACAATAAAAATGTAAAAAATAAAATACAAGGCTTCAGGAATTGACAGAATACCTATTGGGATGTTTCAACAAATGGATGCAACACTGGAAGAACTCATTAGTTTATGCCAAGAAATTTGGAAAACAGCACCTGGCCAGCTGACTGGAAGAGATCTATATTTGTGCCCATTCCAAAGAAAGGTGATCTAAAAGAATGTGGAAATTGTTGAACAATATCATTCATATCATGCACAAGTAATATTTGCTAAAGATAATTTAAAAACAGTTGCAGTAGTAAATTGACTGGTAACTGCCAGAAATTCAAGTCAGATTGGGAAGAGGATGTGGAATGAGAATTTCATTGCTGATCTCAGATGGATCTTGGCTGAAAGCAGAGAATACCAGAAAGATGGTTACCTGTGTTTTATTGACTGTGCAAAGACATTCAACTTTATGGATCATAACAAATTTTAGATAACATTGTGAGGAATAGGAATTCTAGAACACTTAATTATGCTCATGCAGAACTTTAGACCAGGAGGCAGTTGTTCAGACAGAAAAAGGGATACTACATGATTTGAAATCAGGAAAGTTCTGTGTAAGGATTGTGTCTTTTCGCTGTACTTATTCAGTCTCTATGCTGAGCAAATAAACTGGAATATATGTATAAGAAAGAAACTCTGGTGGCATGGTGCATAAAATATTTGACTGCTAAATAGGAGGCTGGCAGTTCAAACCGACCAGTCACTCTGTGGAAGGAAGACTGGGCAATCTATTTCTGTAAAGATTTACTGCTTTGGGACTGAGATCTTAAAAGCTTACAAGCAGGACTTCCAGTAAGATGGAGGAATAGGCAGACAAGTGACACAGACCCTCTTCAACAAAGAAAAAAAATGATTGACCGAGATACAGAAGATAATCCTGGAGCCCTGAGCTTCAAAACAAATTATACAGAAGTGGATTAGGCACCAACTGGTGGAAAAGCCTGAAGGAAAACAGTGAGTTCAGAGACAGTTGGAGCTGTGGACTGTCAGCTACTCCGACAAAACCAACAGCCTGAATATTTCCAAGTGGTATTGGGATCTGAGAATTG